TATCAGATATATTATTTTTGTTTTACAAGAAATTCTTGCCTCACTCTGAGCACCTATGTATTCGGCCATAATAACGTAAAAAAGAAACATGAGTAAACAACGGCCAAGGGGAGCACAGCGTCATGCACGGAGCCCGAGAAGCCCGGGCAATTGGCGCCTCGGAGTCGCGTCCAGCCGGCGCGCCGGCCACCCGGCCGTGGCCGTGGGGCGGGCGCCGCGACGTTGCGGCCACCGCGCGCCTCCGTCATCGAAGGAAAACGGCACACGGCGAATTCTACGAATCCCGATAAGCCAGTAGATTTATTGGAGTGAAACACGTGACAGCGTCTCACAGGCGTCCATTCTAGATGCTCTAACTCACAGTTTGCTAATAGCGAGTTCGTTTCACGGCACTCGTGTCCACGCGTGCCCACTCGCGGCGTAAAACGAGTTCGTTTCGGCAGGCACTCCACGAGTAGTTGCACTCTCCGAGTTCGTTTCAGCGGCGGCACCCCACGTGCGCATGCACTCGCTGCACCGAGAAAATCGGGCGTGCGCCAAGAGGGTCCATATCACAATAGACGGATGGATGGATGGATGGATGGATGAATACGGCTGAGCCCTTTGGATCGGGCGGTAGCTTACGCCACGGGTACTTATTTATTATTAGCGCCATCTCTCGGCGGCCACGGGTACTATCAGAGGTTCGGTGTCATCTTTGAGGCTTCGCCTCCCCGCCGTCCGCCGTAGTACGAACCCCTCGCCGCGCGTTGCGTTCGTGCATGTTCTAGGGTGCCTAGATGTCTGTCTGTCTCAGGGTGAAGACATCCATTGTTGTCCGGAATGTGCCAGCGCGTGACGCTCTCGCGCACTCGGTGCGTGACTTGGGCGGTAAGATGGCGTCTATGCATCAGCCAAAGCTACGCGCTCGAGCTGAGTGACACCGGATTGCGCGCACTTCAAGATGCATAAAAAAACGATTGGGCGGAAAAATGGCTGAGATGTCACCACTCAAGCAAAAGCGCGCGTGTGTATGAAGGCACTCTAGCATGTTCCTGCGTTTTCCTTTTCTTTCTTTTTTTTTTTTTTTTTTTTTTTATATTGATGGTGTTAGTTGCTCGAGAATAACTTGCGAATATTAAGCTCAAGTTTGTTTTCAGCGGTTTCACTAAGAATCTATTTTTATAAAAATGAGCTTCATTCCAGCACCAGAGCAGGCCGACTCACGCACTTTTTTTAGTATCGTGCGTTAAGTTGCCTGATAAGCCGATTATGCCTGTTCGCACAAAGACGATTTATAGGATAATAATACAAAAAAATAAATTCAGTACTAGTGCATATCTTGGCCCCTTGAGAGAAAATGCATTAAATAAATGTCCGCGATATTTTAATGTGCTCCTCCTGATAGCGCGGTTCCATAGGGTTAAATTTCATGCTTACTCGCAATAGAATATGACTAGTGCTCATCATAGTGGCTGATTGCAGTATTGGCTCCAAATAAAAAAGCTTCTCCCGCAGCGCGAGCCCAATTTGTTGGGAAGCGAGCAAGCGCGACTGTTGAACTCGCCAACAGGTCCAGGTTAGCAGTCAAGAAGAGCCCGCTCCTATGCTTTCGTCTACATCTGGAAAATGTTTCTCGAAATGTGAGAGTCGAGTGATAATGATACAGCGTAAAGTAAGCGGGCGTTCACCTTCGGTTTTTAGCACCGTTGTCTTTATCACTCATGTGTTAAACGAAGTTGTTACGTTGCCAAGCTCTTCTGCACTTTTCACCGGCCTTCAGTCGGATGTAAAAGACTTACTTGAGCGAGAAAAAAAAACATCAATCTCGAACCAGTGTATCTGAGTGATGTTGACTGGACCTCGCCGTTCCTCTGCGCGAGCGAAGCTACGATGCTAGCCAGCATCGAGCTCCCAAAACATCACATGAAATAATAGATGCTCGCTGTTGCTACATGCAAATATCCAAGCCCTTCATGCCATGGTGGAGAGTGTCATATATTAAAAGCGGTTTAAAAGCCTTGTAAAAGCACACAACACTAACGCGCGGGTGGCTCTTGTTAGGAGCATAAATAGCGCAGCAAAGCGCTACGGCTATTCAAACGTTGGCTATAATACCTTTAACTTGAAAAGAAAACAATAGGATTCGAATCTTTACATCGGTTGTTTTTCATTTGATTTCCTCGTTGAATACGAGAGCGGAACAGAGCAGTCGTGCGGTCGCTGCGCGTCGCTTTCACGCGCCGCAAACGGCCACAGCGCTTTGCCAGTCGCCTCAAAGATGGCGTCGGAAGGAAGGTTGGAGCCACGTCCGGTAGATGGCGCGCAAATCTGAATAAGGTCTATTGCGAATGACATTTTAGCGAACGGCGACATTTGAGCGAATGGTCGTTTTAGCGAATAACGGGGGCGCGCGTTAACCCATCCGTCGCGCTGCGCTTTACGCCGCTTCGCGACGACAGTCTGCGGCAACTCATTACAAAAATATGAACTCACTCGGCCCACCCGAAAACGCCGCTTCGCGGCGTCCGACTATTCGCTAAAGTGTCGTTCGATGAAACGTGGGCGTTCGCTAAAACGTCATTCGATCAAGTGAGTGCCTCCCGCTGAGATCGGGGTCGCCGCCGCTCGCCACGGCCCGACGGGCAGACTGGCCGACCCATTAACACAGACACCTCCGCTTGTGGCGCTGAATGCAGCACTCTTGTGGAGCCGCCTGGCCATTGCCGGCTGGCTATCATGCACTTGCGCCAACTTGCCCCAAACGACACTTAAAAGCATGATATCGCACAATGTGAAAGACCTCACTCGGAGCTTCGATCGATCATGACACCGCCTTTGTTGCACTTCCTGAGTGATGACTCATTTGCGAAAGGTACGTTGAGGTGCGCGAAAAAATAAAATTCCGGGTGCTGATGAGGACCATGCGAGTCATTTAATTTTATTGCAGCCGTGCGAACGTTATAGTTGACGCAATCATACAATTCTGCGCCCACTGACACCAACTTGACAACAGGAGCCGAAATCCACATGAGCCTTTCTATGCCACAGAGAGAGGAGCGCTAACCGTTTGGAGAGTTTCCCCAACTCCGACGTTACCGTGCCGCCTCGAGGCGCCATCAGCCCGTCGGCGTCTCGCCGTCTGCCGGGAAGCGAAGAGCGAACGCCGAGGAGAGACGAAAGCAACCCCCCCCCCCCCCCCCTCATACCCCCTCTGCCCTCTAGAGGTAGTTGAGAGATTGCGGAGGGCGCTGGCAAGGAGGAGCCTGCAAGAACAAGCACCTCCCTCCCCCCTTCTCCCTCCAAAGGAACCGGCGCGTTTACATGGCGAAGGAGCAGGCGAGCGACACCCAAACCAACCCTGAAGGCCTGAACCCCACGCAGTAGTTGCGAAGCGAGAGTCTCCTCGCCCACTAAGACGGCCCGGGAGCTCACGTGACCAACCCAGCTAAGATAATACCAGCGCTCACCGCGACTCATCATGGCCATGGTCCTCAGGCTCACGTCATCACGCAGACTAATGCGATCACCGGACTCATATCCACCCTAAGACTCACGTCTTGATTCAGGCTCATGCTCATGAGCCTCGAAACTCACAATCACACTCAAGAGACCTCAAAACTCACTCATGAGTACTTCACTTAGCGCTCAAGCTCACACTCACACTCAAGAGTTTTAAGAACTCACAATCACACTCACGATCAAACTCACGCGCATGAGTTCGCAGGGCTCACACTCGCACTCACACTCATTTGTTCCCAGAACTCACGATCACACTCACGGTCAGACTCACGCTCGTCAGTTCTCAGGACTCACACTCACACTCGCACTCATGAGTTCACGTAACTTACGATCACACTCACACTCACGCTCACCATTTTTCGAGACTCGCGGCCTCACTCACGATCACCTCAAATCTGACGGTGAGCGTGAGTGATCGTGAGTGATCGCACTCATGAGTGAGAATGCCGAGGTATGGTTGCCGTACCAGAACGTCGTCACTTTCCTCCCTCCGCCGGACGATCTCCCGGTTGCAACAGGCGTAGGTACCGTAGGAGGCTGTATCGTGGAGGCCACGGGAAGGTCAAACAAGTCGTCCGCGAAAGGGGGCAGGGAGCAACCCAGGCAATACCACAAATCGTTGCTGGAGCTCAACTTCCTGTACTCCGGCAGAGAGACATACACGCATGCACGGTGGGACCAGCGGTCACATGCATCACAGCACAGCGCGGTCTGGCAATCCAGAACACGTTTGGTACAACGGGTGCAGGTGGGGTGCTGAGGTCCTGGGTTTTAAGCGACTTCACGACAGGCTAGTTTTGAAAAATGTGAACTCGTCGTTAGTTTTTTAATCAGCCATGTTATGTCGATCTCCATGTATTCTCCCATAGGGCGGGCCGCCTCCTGGAACCCTGAGTACCACGTGACTCGCGCCGAGCCGCTCTGTCGGCCATGTTGTCGGCAAAACATGGGGTTCAAAGGATTGCGCTACTCTGCTCCGTAGGAGCTATATAGTGCTCTAGCGCATACCAGCGCGTTTCTTTCGAAAGGTGTATTTTTGTCGTCTGGGCTAACGTTGGTCTGTTTGGGCAACCTGCTAAGTTTTCGAAACTTTCTTTCGTCACATACACCGTTTTAAGCCGGAGAAGCGGGACGAACACTGATCTCTATTTTAGTAGGCTGGATCGCGGATCGGGAGCCCGTCGGTGTCGCCACCGGCGGCCATTGCTTGACACCAGGCAATACACGCAAGTCTATGGGAGAAACGCACAGAACCAAACATATTGAAGCATGTACGCTGTGCTCGGAGGCGGGTATTTTATTGTGCGCTGCGATCCTTATGTCGGGTGTTTGGAGATCGAATCGGTATTTTGTAGTATTTCAATTTTTTCATTTAAGTAGTTCTCGCCACACTAGCCAGATGGCGCCACCGTTACACCATTGTCCGTGTTATCAGGGTTGCGTCCCCGTGGCGCTCAACCCCCACGTTGTTGACCGTTAAATAAATGAGTTACGACCCAGCCACCGACCGCGTCGGACGACTCTCTCTCTCCGTCCGGGGCTCCCGCGCTCGGACCCGCCGGTGTTCGCCGCCGTTCACCTCTTCGGCATGTAAGACCCCTCGTTTACGCAGGCCCACGCAGGCCCTGCTCTTCTTTGTTTTTACGGGTGTCCGAGTTTTTCATTATTACAACATTTTTGGCGCATCCCGAGCATGGGAAAAAAAATTATCCCGAGCATGGGATAATTTTTTTTCCGCATTTCGAACCCCCGCGCCCCCTGAGGCTTCGTTTCGCCGCTTTTCGTCGCGGCTCTACTCTTTTTAGCATCGTTTTTGAGAGCGTCCGAGCGGTTGGTGGGTCGTACTCCGCGTCTAGACGGGACGTGCATTTTTTTTTTAACAAGGAACGGCGCTTTTGTCCGCCTTTTTCAAGATGGCGGCTGCGCAGGGTCGCGTTCCCGCCGAATTTCTTCCCACGCCCGGCGAACCGTCAATGCCGTGGCAGACTTGGAAGCGCGGCTTCCTCAATCACCTCGAGGCGATCGACGCCGAGGATTTTCCGCCGAAGCGGAAGAGGGCTATTTTGTTATCTTTTTTAGGAAAGGAAGGAAATCGCGTCGTAGAAGCGTTCAACCTAGCGGGTCCAGCCGTCAACGCGGCACAAGATGAGTTTCAGGGTTTGTTGTCCGTTTTGGACACCCACTTCGCTTCCGCTCAAAACGTCGTAGTTGAGCGTAGAAAGTTCGCCATGAGGGTCCAGGGTCCAGAAGAGACCGTCCTCGAGTATCTTGGGGCGCTTAGACGCCTAGCATCTTTCTGCGACTACGGAGAGTCGTTGGAGAGCCGCGTCGCGGAAATGTTTATTTCGGGGATCCGTAGCGCGGAAGTCCAAGATCGTTTAATCAGAGAGTCCGACGGAACTAAGGCACCTAGCCTCGAGCGTGCTGTCCAGTTAGCGCAGCAGTTCGAGCGGACGTCTCGTGATTGCGATCACTTCCAACGCTTGTCGTTAGACGCAAGTCCGAACACGCCGCACGTGGTCGATCGGATTCAAGATGGACGCGGTCGCGACCGAAATGGTCAACATGGCGGGCAGTCACCCCGCCACCGCGAATCTTCTTCCCCGAGGCGTGAGCGTCTTCCTCCTCCCCCTTCCCCGTCAACACGCGAGCCATCTCGCTCCTGTCGTCCGAGGCGCGAGCCTCCCCCTCCTTCGTCGGGATGGATGGATGGATGGATGAATACGGCTGAGCCCTTTGGATCGGGCGGTAGCTTACGCCACCTAGCCATTTTGTTTTACCATTTTGTTTTACCATTTAAGCTTAGAATATTTAAATGTGAAATCTATATTCACTCCGCAGTGCAAAGAAAGTGAGGCTATGAAACCCCCTTGCCATCAGTGATTACGAAAATACCTACGCGAGCTACGCCAACACCACCTAGAGGAGAAGGCCAGCACACGCCTCCGGTGACGTCACGGCAGCAGGCTGACGAGCGCCGCGCTATAGAGCTGAGCTGAAGGCTTCGCGCGTAGCTTTGACGTCGTAGAAACGCGGGTTTTCGCACAATTTATTTTTTATGAGCTAACGTGAGAGCTGTGAACGCCGAGTGATATAAAGAACCTATTTTAGAACGCAGGAAAATTCTTATAACCTACAATTATTGTAGTCAAATACAAGAAAGTGATATCTTGAGACAGATGTGTTATTTTTTTTAAGCGATAAACTTGGTGGTGCAATTATCTCTGAACGACATGGGACTTGTGTAGTAAAAAAGAATTCCTATGAAATGACAATAATCGAAGTAGTAGGACCAGATAAAATTAACTAAAGTAACAACTGGAAAAATGATGCAGAGGCATTCATTTCATTTCATTTATTCACCTCAAAGGCATCCAAAGACGCATTACATCAGGGGAAATTAAAAAAAAAAAATAAGACAAAATAGTAATTGAACATAAAAAAGACACCAACAAAAAGAAAATGTCACACACACACACAAAACCGCTTTTTAGCATGTTATTGTTATGATGCAGTTTTACAAATCAAAGTTTTGTTACACAAATTGATGCACTTTTTAAATGAAATGGGATATCTCTCAGTTACAATATGGTCAGGTAGTTTGTTCTAGTCAGTGTTGCGAAGTACTAAGGAAGAGGAAAGTGCAACTATGGCACTGAAATGGTTCAATCTTGAAGGAATTATCTAATATGAATGATATGAAATGGGCAGCCCAGCAGTAAGTAGATTGAAAATTGGAATCTGAGTAATATACATCTTAAAAAAAAAAAAAAAAAAAAAAAAAAACACAATTAGACTATTTTTTGTCTTCTTTCTGGATTAGGAAGATTATGCTAGCTTTTAAAGCGGAGACACTTGTTTCGGATGAATAATCACTACATATAAATCTGTCTGCTTTGTTCTGAAGATTCGCGCCTCTAGATTATAGGTAACTTATTAGTGGATTCCAAATTATGCTCGCATATTCTAAAGGTGGAAGGTTTTGTATGCAAGTAGTTTTGCTTTAATAAGAGCTAGATCCCTACTGAAAAATCTTATTTGTATGAGAAACTTCTGTGTCCAATAAACACATATGAATCATACAAGATATATAAGAACATATAAGAGCCCTATAAGAAGTAGATTAGAATATAAGAAATTTGTAAGAAGTTTCTTATATAGTTCTTATATGGTTATTATATATCTTGCATGATTCATGCGTTTATTGAACACAAGAATTTTCTTGTACAAATGGCTTTTTTCACAAATTAAGTGTTTTTAGTGCACTATTTGTTATTTGCTCAATCCATGATAATGAGTTTGTAAAATACACGCCCAAATACTTGTACGACAGTGAGTGTTCTAGTGGTTCGGAAAGTAACAAGTACTGGGTTAGAGTTTTAGTGGAGGACTTAATTATGGACATTTCTTTGCATTTATATCTGTTAATGTTCATCTGCCACAGGGAACACCATGGTGATATTGTATCTAAATCGTCTTGGACAATATTGTGATTAATAGAGGAGTAACTCAAGCATTAGCAAAACGTCTAATTGTCGATTTAATTGATAATGGTAGGTCATTGATATATATTACAAACAATAGAGGCCCGAGTACACTACCCTTAGGGACATCTGATGCAACAGCAACGGGACCCGAATTGCCAGACAAGTATAAAAGTAATAACATTCTAAAATTGTGATGTGCTGGTTTGAAAAATGTATTGCACATAGTTTGAAAAACGTATTGCGCATATTTTGGCAAACTTTTCTTAGACCTGTGATCAACCTGCATAGGTTTAGCAATTCAAAGCACTCTGCCTGTTCAAATATAGTACTTGTTTTGCAGCAAGCAACCTATCTGGTTACTACATCGAAAAACACCTGTGACCTATTTCTTTGCAATGTCATAATGTGAAAACTTTATATTTCCAAAAAAAGTACCGTAATACCCAAGCGTTGCCCCATATGCAGATGTACTTCGACAGTACCGAGTCTGTGAAACGACACAGTTAGGGCGGCTAAAAACAAGTTTTGCACACAAACAGAAGTGGGCATGGGAGCTTGATATTCAAAGTTGCTTGCATTTACGATGCAGAAGAGTCATAAAGAAGAAATTGGTCACCTTTGAACACTGCGAAACGAGCCTCCTGGTATCCATAAGTTCTGATAATGTCCGTCTTCAAAAACATTTACACACATGCATCTTAGATGCTGTAGATTATGTGACACCGAGACACACAATATCTGTGCAGCATGTTGGCATTTCCGTTGTAGCACCACAAGATACCCAACAGACTGCTACAAGGACACCGATTATCTGCACACACACACACACAGATCCACCGACTTCAGAGAGCAGTTGCCTTTGCATGAGGATGAAGCGCAAGCATGTTGCTGGCCGGACACGAACTAATTTGTTTAGCCTTGACCTCTCAGCGTATCTTGCAACAAAGGTTCCTCAGTTGAAAGTTTTCACTGCAGTCCAGCACATGCTTCAGCTCGAACTCACGATGGGTTCATCATCACAGGCGTCAGACATACTCTTCCTTGGTCCGAGTTCGCTTCTTGACATCCATGACGGTTGGCAGCGAGTGTCTTTGATCGAGTTTCAGCTTTTCATTTCTTCTGTTTAGCATTCTTGGCATTAATGCAAACATTCATTTCGCTACAGCATTTACACCAGCTTCGTCTTCCTGTGCGAGCAAACTGTAGCCAACTTGTTTCGTGCTGTCGACGCGGCCTTGCATTTTTCGCCCCTTAGGTTTTTTAAAATGGTGTAGACTGCACAGCTGGCCACATAGCCCAAGGCCGGGAGGCTGTGCCTTATTTTTTTACAGCCCAGGGCCACATTGCAGGTATACCACGTTGCAGGTAGGGCGTCAAGTATCCGCTCGCTTGGGAAGATCTTTCTAGTTTCCATTGCTAGCTGTAGTGACCGTTGACATTGAGCTCCACAGCAGTATTCTGTTTTCATCTTTGCAAATGTGCCTTGTAGACACGTGATATTAGAAGCAAGCCAGTTGTCTATACATTCCGAAGTACTCTTCTAAGGTGTCAGTTTTCAGCTTGTCCCATGGAGGCCGTAGAGTAGCCAGAGTCCATCAAAGCAGTATCCGGGATGTGTGACCGCTTCTGCAGGAAATAGAACGAAAAAGGAGGAAATCATATTAACCTAAAGAAAGGTAATGTAATCAAAAATGGTTATAAAAAGAAAAAAAAAGGAGAAAGAATGCTCTTCTTTAAGCTGAAGTGGTTCCGTATTTGAGAAAAAAACACTGGCAGTGTTTTGATCTGGTACTTTGGATCACAAAAATAATAATAATTAATAGAGCTTCCTGGTGCGTGGTGGGATTCCTTGGGGAGCCTGAAGTGGCTCCAGCTAAATCGTTAGTATATGGCTCTGGTGTATGGATAAATAACTGATCAATGAACCATATTCCGGCTTGCGTGCACTCCAAACTACTGCTCAGAGACCCGCTAAAATATAGGTCTTACTAGTTAGTTGTAGCGGATCATGTCTGCGCTCCGATGAGGATACGCAGAAAAGACACAATGTACTTCTGTTGTTGTTGTTTTTTAATTGATGTGCTGGTTGCAACCGCGGTAACCTATCACTTGCGTACCTTGCGAAAACATTCCAACATGAACTCATAAGTCGGGTCATTTTTATTTAGTTCTGCACCTGCAAGTAGCGCCAGCATTTGAATGTGTTGCTTCCAGGCCACAACCAAATCACTCCCAAGCATGCATTCAGCGAAAAGTAAAAACAAGAAACGAAACCACGATCATAAAAATTAAAAAGTTCTTACCCTGCCATGCCGTCAAGGAGCGAGATCTTCCCATCGATTCGCTGTATAGTCCACGCTTTCGCAGTCATCCTTGCAGAAATTCAAATATGGACACTTTCACATCCAGTTTTCCGTCAATGCACGAATAAACAACATCTGTACCGAATGACAGCACCGACCACGCACCGACAACCGAAAAGCTGCTTTCACTGCTTTCACGTCCACACACGAGGCCGCGAGAGGACATTCCAAAATGTGCTCGATCTCACTCGAGAGTTGGACTTCTGACCCTCGACGTCCAAAAACATACTCGCGTCCAGAGTTGTTCTAGTTGATTCCTCCAGCTTTATTGTCACGTGACTCAACCCGCAGGAGTAAGTAAAATAAGCCGTCGATGAAAGGAACGCGACAAACGACCGTTGAAAAGAAAAAAAAAAAAAAAAAAAAAAAAAAAAAAACGCGACGCCGTGGCGCCTTTTTTTTTTTTTTGCGCCCCGTTGAGCGCAGAGGGAAAGAAAGGAAAAAACAAAAGAGAACGCGCATTGCAAAGAAGCCAACTGTCAAGGGGAGCCTTGCGGAGAAGCGCACTACCAGTTCAGCCTACTCATGCCGACGCTCCTTGAAGGGAGAGAGGGAAGCGCTCCGGCTTTCCATCTAGGTGGTGTTGGCTACGCGAGCGGCCCTTTCCTCCTTTCCCGCCGCGTCGAGAGCGCGACCGCCGGCAGTCGCGAGCTCCCTCCCGACCGTTCTTCCGTGCGCGCCCACGCGACCCTCCCCCCGGGGCGCGTCGTGTCGTTCGCGACGACGGTTGTTTTTTCTGTGGCAGACGAAGCCACCCCCGAGATGAGTGCCCAGCATCCGGAGCCACATGTTTCTCGTGTGGCCGTGAGGGACATTTTGCAAATGTGTGTCGAAGCCGACCGAGGCACGACCGGGATCATCGTCAACTGGCCCTTCCTGCTGGCCGGCGGGTCTCTGCCCGCGGCTACTACGAGCATCGGCAAGCAAGGCCTGGTCCTACAAGGATTCAAGGCATCACCTTCCCGGACTACGAGCTCCCGGCAACAATCTACACCGTCGTGCCGCCCGATGATTTTCCGGAGCGGTGCCGTTTCTGTGGTGGCCCCTGCCACCCGAGGAAGTTTTGTCCGGCCGCACACCGTCGCTGCTTCTCCTGCCAGAAGCAAGGTCATCTAGACCGTGTCTGCGAGAGTCGACCCCGGTGGCCACGACTCGACCGTGGGGGGCCTAGCAACCCTCCCACCGTGTTCGCGTCCGCCCACCGGAGGCATCGAGAGATGCGTCACTTTTCGGCGCCCCGAGCGCCATGGTCCCGGCCCCGGGGAAGTACCTTGCCCCCGGAGCCCCCAGTTCCTGCTGCAGCCCCGCCTGCAGTTCTTCTTGCTGCAGCCCCGCCTGCAGCCCGGCCGGCTCCCCAAGAGCCGCCTGTTCCTGTTCTTGGTCCGGCCAGCCCGGACACCACCAATCCAGACCCCGAGGGTCCACAACCAGCCTCGAGTTCCCGAGGCCCCCCCCTCTTCTTCCTGAGGGTCCTGTTCCAACTGAGAGTGTATCTTCCAGCACCTCCTTTGAGGGTGCACCAGAACCAGTGCCAGTGCAATCACCTGTGAGTGGGTGTTCGGTACCCATCACAACGCAGCCCAAGCCGTTCCCCAGACCGGAGCCACCAGAGCCCCAGGGTCCAGACGCCTCCGCGCAAGAGTGTCGTCGGCGGCTACCAGACGTCCTGAAGGACTATTTTATTAACTCTTTTGGACTGGGTTCAAGATATTTGTGAACATTCAGTGAATTTTTTTCTTATCCAGCTTACTGCCCCAGCGCAGCCTTTTCCATTGTGTGCTTTCCGCAAATCTTTTGCGACGTGCTTTTTCCTTTTCATTAATTTCACATTTTCCAGTGTCTTGACATAGAAATGTCATTTCATTTCAGTACATTTCCATACTTCCCAACTGCCCTGCAGTTTGGCGTCAGTTTTCGGGAAAAAAGTCTATTCAATTTTTTTTCCTAAGAGAGGGAAGGATAGGTAGTTATTTTTTTTTAAGGAAAAGAAAGTGTATTTCAATTTTTTCATTTAAGTAGTTCTCGCCACACTAGCCAGATGGCGCCACCGTTACACCATTGTCCGTGTTATCAGGGTTGCGTCCCCGTGGCGCTCAACCCCCACGTTGTTGACCGTTAAATAAATGAGTTACGACCCAGCCACCGACCGCGTCGGACGTCTCTCTCTCTCCGTCCGGGGCTCCCGCGCTCGGACCCGCCGGTGTTCGCCGCCGTTCACCTCTTCGGCATGTAAGACCCCTCGTTTACGCAGGCCCACGCAGGCCCTGCTCTTCTTTATTTTTACGGGTGTCCGAGTTTTTCATTATTACAACATATTTGTCAAACGTCCGGTCGCCGAATAAAAAAATCAAACGTACCGGAGCACCTACGGCTGAGCAGGGAAGCTTGCTCTCGTAATGAAGTAAACAAAGGAACTTGCCGTCAATTAGACCGTCCTCAGGGAAGGCCAGAGGTTGATGAATGACAAAGAAGTTCCATCTCGACAGCGGCTTTCCCGGAGTCAGCGAATTCCGCGTTGCAAAGCCTTCGAGCTTGTCGTCTGCTAAACCCAACTCAACGAAACCGCCCCCGACTCCGCGGTAACTCTAGGTAACTCGCATCATTGAGCTGCACTACTGCGGAGTCACTCTCGACCACAAAATATTTATTTATAAGAATTGAGAGGGCTGTCAGTTTTAATGTTTGTAAGCAAGCTATTTGACGGGCTTATCGAAAAGCACCCAAAAAGTTTCAGTGCCGAGAACAGCTTAGAAGCAGGGGAAAACGGCACTTTTTCTCGTTCTTCCCATAGAGTCCCATGCATTGGCTGGTGTCAATGAATGGCCGCCGGTGGCGACACTCGGCCCTGTTCGGAACGTTCGGAACGGACGACGGCCAAGTGACAGCAGCTCAGCTCGTGACCACAACCAAAAAAGCCCTTTAATCTCACGCGCCGCTCCTTATATAATCCTCTATAAATGATGGTGTCCTCTGGTGAGCAATAAGAAAAAACACCATCACTTCAGTAGCGCCCGCTACATCTCCCCTCTTAAGATCTATAAGTCCAATCGCCTTGGCGGTCGAATCTCACGACCGCAACGTGTGCGTCTCAGCCGAAGTCCTTCTTGCTGAGGCTCTTGCGATGATACTCGTTGACCCTCAACAGGCATAGACTGCTGTGAACTAGCCGACGGTTCTTCTTCTGCTTGGCCGTTTGAGAAAGGGACAAGATGCTGACGGTTTCGCTGCAGAGTGCCCCTGGGCGTTTCCACCATATATGACCGTGGTCGCTGAGCGGGGCTGAGTATACGGCCTCGACAATTGACGTCCTTAACCCACACGTCCTCCCCCAACTTCAAGGGAGTCAGAGGACTTGAACTATGCCGGCGATTGTAGTTCTTTGCCTGCTGTAACTTGTTTGCGGCATCTCTTGCCTTAAAGTTCTGATGGCTGGGCAATGCTGGCTCAAGTCGTTCGGGTAAAGCAGGAAGTCGAGTTTGGAGTTTTCTCCCCATTAACAACTGTGCAGGAGACACGCCATTGACACCAGGTGTGTCTCGGTAGGCTAGGAGGGCCAGGTACGGATCAGAACTTTTTGCGAACAAGTCCTTCACGGTACGCACCATACGCTCTACTTCGCCGTTACTCTGGGGGTACCGCGGGCTGCTAGTCTCATGGCGAAATCCGTACGCCTGAGCAAAGTTTGCAAACTCGTGAGATGCAAACTGCGGTCCGTTATCTGACCGCACGACGTCCGGGATCCCATAGCGAGCCATGCAACTCCTGACAGCCGAGATGACTGCTTGCGCAGAGATCCGAGAGAGATGACCTCAGGAAACCTTGAGTAGTAGTCTACAATCAGAACGTAATCACGTCCTTTTAGCTGGAAAAGGTCTATCCCGAGGCGCTGCCACGGTCTTTCTGGCGTTGGAGTCTGCATCATCGGCTCAGAGTGTACCACACGAGTTTCGGCGCATTTGGCACACTCGGCTACAAGATGTTCGATGTGTAAATTGCAGTTCGGTCACCAAACGCTTTCTCTGGCGCGTTCTTGACAGCGGCGAACGCCCTGGTGCCCTTCGTGCAGTAAGGCCATTATACTCTGTCGGAGAGCGGACGGAATGACGATGCGGCGATCTAGAAGTAGTACGCCTTTGTAGACGCTCAATCGTTCTCTCTCCTTCCAATACGGAGCAATGTGAGCTGGCACTTTGTTTTTGCTGGGCCAACCTCTTCCACAGTAAGTTACTACCATGGAACACTCCCCATCTTGCGTTTGGTGCTGGCGGACGTCTTCCAGTCGACTCGCCACCGCTGGCGGCAGGTCTTTGAAGACTTCGCCAATGAAGAGTTCCACACTCCCTACTTCTTTCGAAGCTGGCGCGTCACAAGGTGCTCGTGAGAGTGTGTCGGCAGTCGCCAAGAGCTTTCCCGGTACATACTTCATGTTGTACTGATAACGCATCAGCTTGATTCGCATGCGTTGCACCCGCGGTGGCAAAAGCTCCAGGTCCTTTCCCCCGAGAAGGGCGACAAGAGGAAGGTGATCTGTCTCGACCTCGAAGTTCAGACCACGAATATACTGGTCGAACCGTAAGACGGCCCACGTTACGGCTAGAGACTCCTTCTCCGTTTGACTGTAGCGACCCTCCGTGGGAGTGAGGGATCTGGAAGCAAAGGCGACAGCCCGCCGAGTCCCCGAAGGTTGCTCTTGAAGCAGCACGGCTCCCAAACCCAAACCATAAGAACTGGCATCTGCAGATACTACGGTAGGGTAGCGCGGGTGGTACTTTGCCATGCATGTTTCAGAGCTAAGCAGTGACTTGAGGCGGGCGAAAGCCTCCTCTTGGCTAGGACCCCACATCCAGACGCTGTTCTTGTTTAACAGAGAGCGAATTGGTGTGGTAACGTCAGCAAGGTGTGGAATGAACCGTCCGATGTGATTAGCCATCCCAAGCAACCGGCGTACACCGCTGATATCTTCTGGTGGCATCAAATTCTTGATGGCTTTGATCTTGTCTGGATCTGGCGAAATTCCTTCGGCATCCACGACAACGCCTAGGAACTTGACAGAGGTGACGCCGAATTCACACTTTTTCTCGTTCAGTGTAACCCCAGCTTGTTCCAGGCGACTCAAGACATCGGCCTGACGTTGATCGTGTTCGCGACGATCCCTCCCAAAGATTAGAATGTCGTCAATCATGTTGACGACACCCGAGAGACCTTCAAGAAGTCTTGACATCAGGCGTTGAAAGTACTCCGGTGCCGATGCGATGCCAAATGGAAGACGCTTGTAGCAATACCGGCCGAAGGGAGTGATGAACGTCGTGAGCTCTTCACTGTCACGACTAAGTTTCACCTGATGGAAGCTGGACCTAGCATCGAGCTTGGAAAATATCTGAGCTTCACCCAACTGACCCAGTATGTATTCGACAGTTGGCAAGACGTAACGTTCTCGCTGAATCACTTGATTCAGCTTTGTCAAGTCCACGCACAGTCTCTACCCGCCTGATGGTTTGGGAACAACGACTAGACCGAAACACCACTGAGTTGGCGTGTCGATTTTTCGAATGACACCTTGGGCCTCCATGTCATCCAGTTCCTTTTTCACGACACCTAGCAGAGGGATTGGAATCCGTCTTGGAACGCTCAGAGAAAATGGACGAACATTCGGCTGGAGACGGATGTGATACTCCTCTTGGAGTTCCCCCAAGCCTTGAAAAATCTCGGCTTGAGTTGATGGAACGTATTCCGTCGAGTCCAGGAACTGAATAACGCCCAGAGCTTCAATGGCAGGCAGTCCGAGAAGAGACGTGTGCTGATTTTGCACGACGTAGAGACGCTGGACCGTGAACTTGCCACGCCACTCCAAGGTAGCCTTGAAAGTCCCCAGAACGTTCAGACGTAGGTTGCCGGGACCCGACACCTCGCCGTCGGCTTCGTCCAGGACAATAGGAAGCCCCGGAAAAGAGGGTGAAACAACGGTGACCTCCGCACCCGAGTCAATTTTGAAGTTGGAAAGATGACCATTCACGCGCACCTCGGTGTATCTTGCATGCCGTGTGCTGACTGCGTGAAGCTCCACGGAGCCCAAGAGTTCTTTTCTCTTCTTAGCTTTGCAAACTTCTGCAAAATGGCCCTGCTTCTTGCAGAAATGGCAAGACGATTTCCGCGCTGGGCAATCTTTCCGCAGGTGAGGGTGACGTCCGCAATACTCTCAAGTTGAACTGGCGGACTGCTCAGATTTGCCGTGATAGCGTGCCGATTGACTGGTCGCTATCTTCTTGCGTCTCGCGGTGTCGACGTTCAGGTTTTCGGGGGCGGTATTCCCGCGGGCAACACTGGAGCGTGACAGCCGCTCTTTTTCGGCGTCCTTGTGAACACGGGCCTGACAGAGCGCTTCTTCCGCAGAGAGCCTCGTAGAACGACACAACTGGTCAGAGAGCTTGTCATCCCGCAACCCCACGACGAATTTGTCACGTACCAGGCGGTCTTCGACGTCCGCACTGTTGTAACCGCAGCGCTTGACCAGGTTACGAAGCGACGTGAAGAAGTCGTCGACAGACTCGCCTTGCTCTTGCGTCCGACGGTGGAACCGGCGACTCTCGCATATTTCGTTGACGGGATGCACGAAATGCGCGGCCAACTTCTCTTTGACGACCGCGAACGACAGGGTCTCTGGAGTTGGCGCTCCCAACGACGACAGGACGCTTCGAGCTTGCGGTCCCATGCAGTACAAGAGCGTGCGTACCTGCGCCTCGTCGCTGGCAGTATCGAGACCGGCTGCGAAGGCGTAGTCCTGATAAGTCGCGATCCATGTCGGCCATTCCGCCGGGCTGGTGAAAGTGAATGGAGCCGGAGGATGAAGTCCCGACGCTCCGACGCGAACCACTTGGATACGGGGTTCACCTTCCGCCATAGTGACGGCGTTAACCAGCTTCTGACACCATGTTCGGAACGTTCGGAACGGACGACGGCCAAGTGACAGCAGCTCAGCTCGTGACCACAACCAAAAAAGCCCTTTAATCTCACGCGCCGCTCCTTATATAATCCTCTATAAATGATGGTGTCCTCTGGTGAGCAATAAGAAAAAACACCATCACTTCAGTAGCGCCCACTACAGGCCCCAGCTGCCGACGCCGCGATCCATAGGGACGAAAGCTCTCATACCTCCGGTAGCTCTACAACCACTGGATCATCCGTGGGTCATATGACAACAAATGACTACAACGAAATTTCGACGCTTATTT